TAATCCCCCCCCCCCCCACCCCCCGCTAACCCTGCCCACCTCAAAGCTCCGACACCCCCCCCCCCGCCGTACAACCACTCGCGCTCGCACCCCCCCCCCCCACGCGCACACACCCACCCGTCGCACCTCCCCCCCTCCCACATCGCCCGCGCAACGACATCGCCACCGACCCACCCCCCACCACCCCCCCCCCACACCCCCCCCACCCCCCCCCGATCACATCCGGCCGCCTTCCCCACCACCCGCCCCGCCCACCAACCCCCGCCCCCCCGAACAGTGACACCGCACAGTTGCCACCTGCCGACCCGCCCTCAACCCCCCCGCCCACGCTGCCCTCTCCCGCTCCTCGCCCCTCCTCATCCACCTACGCCCTCCGCTGCCCCACCCCCCCACCCCCCCCCCTCCCCACCCCCACACGCCCCCCGCCCCTCCAACATCGCCCCGCACACCCAACACTCCGTTCCTCCGCAAAGCCCGCCACAAACCACCACACCCACCCCCCCACACGCACCGCACCACCTCCTCCACACCCCCACACACCCCGCCTCAACCATCCACACACACCCCCCCTGTCCGCCCGCCTCACCAGCCTCGACCCACCGTCCACAACCGTCCTCAAGCCCCCAGACCACCACGCCCCACGCAATCTCCGCCGTGACCCACACAGCCCACGCGTACCCCCGCGACGCCCACCCACACGCACACCACCAATCCTCCGTTGGGCTGCTTCAGCGGGTGCGGAAATACGAACGCTCAGGGTATAGGAGGCGCATTCCGGGTTTGAATTAGAGTCGTCATGCGACGGCTGGAGTTAGATGTTTGGCGCCCATTCTTTGCGTAACGCGAGAATGCGCGTTGGTGGCCTTGTGCCAGCGTCTCTTTATCACGTACTTCTTCCAGCTGTCTTCTTGTCGAGTTTCGTGTCGCCGCACTCTTCCTTCTGCTCGCACAGAAAGGAGAAAGAGAATCCTGCCGTTAAACAGCAGCTGCTGTTTCCACAGATGTAATGGGGGAGCAGAATAAGAAGGGGGCAGTGTGGAGCGTCGGTGGAGGACAGTAACGTAGTAAGCGAGTACCCAACGCGCAGTCCTAACCCTAACCGTAATCATAACCCTAACCCTAATCGTAATCCTTAACCCTAACCCTAACCCAACACCTAACTGTTAATCCTAACCCTAAACCGTAATCCTTAACCCTAACTCTAACTCTAACCCTAACCCTAACCCAACGCGCCAATCATAACCCTTAAACCGTATTCGCTGCATTAACCCCGACACTAGTAATAACCATAACCCTAACTGTAACTGTAACCTTAACCCAACACCTGACATAAACCATAACTTTAAACTCCACCCTACCGCTAACTAGTACTATCCCTAAACCCTAACGCATAAACTTTGAGCCTACCCCTGGCCATAAGGCAATCATAAGACCAAGGCAATCAAGCCCGCATTCATGGTGGGCGTTTCATTGCGTTATGAAAGATGGTTAGGGGACAGCGAAAGGAACGGCACCGCTCCCGCACCCCTCCCCCCCGCACCCCCCCCCCACCCCCCCCCCCCACCCCCACCACCCCCCCCCCCCCTGTCTCACCCCCCCGCTGCAACGCGCCCCCCCCTCACGCCAACCACCCACACACTCCCCCTCCCCCCCACCGCGCACCCCCCAATCACCACCTCCTACAACCCCCCCCACGTCCCCCTCCCTCATCCTCCCCGTTCCCCCCGCCCCCACCTCCATCCCTTTTTATGTAGCGTACGCGTTTTTGTCTGATACTCACCAACGCCCTACACCTCTGGCCTCACCGCCCCCCCCCCCCAGCCCGCTCATCCCCCCCCACCCCCCCCCCACCTTCCCCACCCGATTAACCCGCCCCGCAACCCCCCTGCCCCCGCCACCCCACCGCCGCGCTGCCATCCAACCCCCAGCCCGCGCCACCCCCCCTACGCTCGCCCTCCACTCACCGGTACTACGCCCCCGCTCACATGCCGCCCCCCCCCCCCGCTCACACCACACCATCCCCTTCCCACCCTCCACATATCATTCCCCCCCCGCCCCACACCCTCCAACCTCACCCCCACTCTACCTGGCGTCCCCCCCCCCCCCCCCCCCCGCCACCCCCCGCCCCCCCCCCCCCGATTCCTCGCAACCCCATGCGCAGACCCCCCTCCTACCATCCCACGACCACGCAGCTACCCCCCCCCACCACCCGCATCCCCACGCCTTAACTCCACCGCCATCCCCCCTACACTTACCTCACTCTCCCTCTAACATCTCCATACAACCTCTTCCCCCGCGCGCCCCCCCTCGCAGGCTCACCGACAACCCACACCATCTTAAACCTCATCACCCCCACTTCCGTCATCCAATCCCACACCCTCGCCCTACCAACCCTCCCCTCTACCGCAATCCTCTCAACCAATCCCACCCCATTACTCTCCACCCCACCTCCGATGTTCCATTAAGCGGATTAACCCTGGGAAATGTGAACAGGCGTGAGGCATTCTAGGCGCAATTTATTCAACGTACTACCTCTAACCAGCGATGTCTCAAGGCCTCCTTGGCTGACATTCGTGTTGCTATAACAAAATAAAACTTTTCTGTTTTAGTTACTAATGGAACGACAGATTCACAAAGATATACACACACACACACGCAAGCTGACGCGCACGCACGTACACACACGCACACACACACGCACACACACACACACACAAGCAAATAAAAAAAAAAACACAAACAAACACAACACACACACACCACACAAAACACACACATACACAGATACACAGATAGGGGGGCCTACTAACTTTTGGTTTAGGACTAGAAGTTTGTCGCATGAAGTCTCTTGGCGTCGTCCGGACACTTCGTCGAATGACTCGTCATCGAAGTCGTATTCCACCTATGGATATGTTGCCGAACGTCTCCCCGTCGTTGTCGCCCATGAACGGTGACAAACCGGACAACCTGGTCACAGAGAAAGCACCAGCGATGGGTGAGTATGCATATTCCTTCATGCATTCCACGCCCCCACCCCCCCCCCCCCCCCCCCCCACGCCCCCCACCACACCCCCACCCCCCCCCACCCCCCCCACCCCCCCGGCCCCCCCAAACCCCCCAGCCGCCACCCCCCCCCCCCCCCCGCCACCCCACCGCCCACCCCCCACCCCCCCGGCCCCCCCCCCGCCCCCCCACCCCCCCCCCCCCCCCCCCACCCACCGCCCCCCCCCCAACCAGCCCCCCCCCCCCCCCCCCCCCCCCCCCCCCCCCCGACCCCACCCGCCCACACACCCCCGCCCCCACCGCAACACCCCCCAACCCTCCCAACCCCCCCGAGCCAACCCCCACACCACCCACCCCCCCCCCCGCCCACAGCAACCCACCCCCCACCCGCCCGGCACCCCCCCCTCCTGTGTGAGCGACCCCCCCCCCCCCCCAGTCGTGTGTGCAGCACGCCCCGCGTGGCCCACCGTCTGCCCCCGCTCGCGCACCTCGCGCCGCCCCCCCGCCCCGCCAACCCCACCACCGCCCCCACCCCACCCCCCCCCCCCCCGCCCACACCCCCCCCCACCACCCCCCCCCCCACGACCCCCCCCGCCCCCCCCCCCCCCCACACCCCCCCACCCCCCCCCCAACCCCCCCACCCGGGCCCGCCCCCCCCCCCCCACCACCCCCCCAACCCCCGCGCCACACCCCCCCCCCCCCCCCACCCACACCGCGGATGTGTGTGTGTGGCCCCCCCACCCGCCGCCCCCCCCCCCGCTGTCGTCGCTCGTGACCCGCTCGCCCCCCCACCCCCCCCCCCCACCCCACCGCCACCCCCCCCCCCACCCCCCCCCCGCCGGCCCCACCCGCCCCCGCCCCCCCCACGCCCCCCCCCCCCGCCCCCCCCCCCCCCCCTCTCGTGCTCGCATGCTGCCCCACCGCACATCGCCCCCCACCAGCCCCCCCCCCCCCACCCCACCCGCCCCGCCGCACCCCCATACCCCCCGCCCGCCTCGTGTGCCACGCCCCCCCCACCCCGCCACCCCCCCTGTGTGCCCACCCCCGTCGCTGTCGCTCCCGCCCGCACACACCCCAAAACCCCCCCCCCCCCCCCCCCCCCCACCGCCCCCCCCCCCCAAACCCCCCCCCCACTGATGTGGTGTGTGTGTGTGTGTGTGCCCCGCACCCCTAGCGCTCCACCGCCCCCCACAAACCCACCACCGACACCCGCCGCCCCCATCGCACTCCCCGCTCGCTCGTGCTGCTGCTGTAGTGTGCTCCACGCTAGCCTACAACCTCGCCTCGTCGCCTCGCCTCCTCCGACCACCCCCCCAACTGTTTGTTGACCCCCCCCACCACCCCACCCCCCCCCCCCGCACCCCCCCCCACCCCACCACCCGCCCCTCCCCCCCCCCCTGCTGTGCTTCTCGCCCGTGGCCTTGCGGTCCTCTTCCCTGTTAGGTGTCGTGTGTGTTGTGCTGCTCGCCTCGTGCTGCCTGTGTGTGTGCCCGCCTCACCCGCTCACCGGCATCACCTGTCGCCACCCTGTCCGCTCGCCGGCCCCCACCCCTGCTGGTGTCCCACCCCCCCCCTGTCGTAGCTGCTCGTCGCCTGTGCTGTGTGGTCGTGTCGCGCCCCCGCGTTCCCGCCCTACCCGTCGCCACATGTGCGCGTCGGCCGTGTGTGTTGTGTGTGTGTGGCGTGCGCCCGACCCCCGCTGTGTGCCCGCCCTCTGTGTGCCCCCTGTGTGTGTGTGTGTGGTGCTGTGTGCTGTGTGTCGTATGGTGTTGCGTACGTAGCTGTGTGTGTGCCGATAAAAAAATCTATATCTTGACTCGCTGCACTCTTTCTTTGCGCTGCTCTCGATCCCTCTCTCTCCCTCGTTCGCCCTCTCTCTCCTTGCCGCCGCTCTCATCTCTCTCTCTCTCTCTCTCTTTCTCACTCTGTCTCTCTCTCCCTCGCCCTCTCAGAATGCATTCTAGTCTTCCACCTATAACAGACAGACATACATCCAGACATCCATCCGGACATACAACCGCTGTTTTTATACAACACAGAACCCCCTTACATGCCTTAGATAAACCGGCTAAGGATTTTTCAATGTTTCAATTTGACTAAAAGTTGCTGCGTGCTTCTGCCTAGAGTTTCTTTTGTTTACGCGTGCTAGCACAAACCATTTTTGCTTGATCTGTTGCGCAGTGTTATGCTGAAATACGATTTATTGCGGCGAGAAAAACTTGCACTATCCACGTCCAGTCTGAACATAATAATGTCGACTTTAGTTGGAAAACGCTTAGTAAACGCGAGATTTTGCGAGACGGGGAGTAGCGAAATATTGCGATCAAATATGGAATTTTTGTCACACAAGGCTACTGCAATCTTATCATAGCCCTTGCGTACACTGTTTTCATTGAGACACTACAAACGTTGCGTGACACTGCGGAGATGACGTAGTGCGCAACACAAGAGCATTCGTGTAAGCGCTCACAGGATGTACGTGATCACTCCGACGCTCCACATGTCCGTCAGGGGGCTAATCCGATCGTAGTTGATCACTTCCGGTGCAACGAACTCCGGCGTTCCAAACAACGCTTTGACGGTATCGTTGGGGTCAAACTTCCGGGCCAGCCCGAAATCGATTAATTTAATGCGATTTCCGGCCCGCGTCACACACAGGATATTCTCCGGCTATAACGAAAATAACGAGTGACTGTACCGAAACGTATCGTAGACGACTTAATTATAAATTGATAAGAAAGACTCGCACACGAATTGCCTGAACGAGTAGAACAGTACTTAAAGATTTTGCGATGTCATATATACCCATGAAATCTATTAACTTCTCTTACCTTTCTATATGTCGTCCGGTCAGGGTTATTCCCATCCGTTTTCCAACGTGAAAACGACGAGGAACCCGTCTAGCTATTAGGCGGCGCAGCGTGTCAGGTTTTAAAGCAATCTCACCACAGCGATCACGTGACTATCGGCTTATGATTAAATATATATTTTGATTATCGCGTTAAATTGCGCCGCTACAACAAACAAGAGAGCAATTTTCATCTCTGTGGTGAGATTGGTTTTAAAGTGCCTGCGGGGAGACACAGTTTCTTTCAATCTTCGCGCATTCTACCTTCTCTTCCATCTCTACCATCTCTATACCTTCTCTACCATCTCTACCTTCTCTACCTTCTCTACCTTCTCTACCATCTCTACCATCTCTACCTTCTCTACCTTCTTTACCATCTCTACCTTCTCTTCTATCTATTCACCTTCATGTCGAGATGAATGATGTTGACAGAGTGCATAAAGGAGACGCCCTCGCAGATCTGCCGCAGGAAAATGACGCAGGCTTTCTCTGTCAGTAGGAACTCTTCGTCGATCACTCTCTCAAACAGCTCGCCACCCGTGATCCTTCGCGCAATAAAATAAATAAAGTCCCGAATAAATAACCGGGCCATGAGAAGAAAAAAACCGCATAGAGCATAAAATCCGTCGCTCTTCTTCTGTCGTTTAAAATAGCTCCGTAAAAAGTGTCGGCGGTCGGGCGAGGTCATATAGATGTTGAATATTTTCACCCAGATACGCGCATGATATATGTCCGTTTGTGTGTACGCATATATATTCAAGAGACCCACGTAAAAAATCGTTTACATTAAAGCTGGCACGAATGCCATAGCAATCGAACAAAATATTCGCACCCGCACACACGCGATCAGCTGCTAGCTTATTCAGACGTGGAAATGAGACATATCGCGGTGGGTTTTTTCACTCGAAAATGTGCAACGCTTTTATCATCATAACTTTCTCTATCGATGTTAATAAGTTTTTTTGGAAACGGTTATTTGATTCAACTGGCGACAGATGGCGATGCGTTAGGCCGTGTTGACGGCGGCCATGTGTACGGATGAGTTATTAACGAAATAACCCACACACACAACAGCACCACACAGTCACACAACTACACACACACACACACACACACCACACGCACACACACACACACACACACAGCACACACACACACATCACCTCCACCACGACACCACACACACACACACCACACAACACACACTACACACACACACACACCACGACACACACAACACACACACACACACACACAACACACACACCACACCACCACACACAGCACACAACGACACACACAGCACACACACATCCACACACACACACACACAAAACACAACACACACACACAGCACACCACAGCACGACACTACACACACAACACACACACGACACACACACAACACACAAGCACAACCCACACACAACACACGTACCACACACACATTCGACACACACACAAACACACACACACCACACACATCCCCACACAGCCCACACACACACACAACACAGTATATACTATTAGGCGCGTTCACAGCGGACGTTTTTGCCGGGCCTAATTAGGGCCCGTGCAGATTTGGCTCGAGCCAGAGCGTTCACAACGGGACGTTTTTTGGGCTCGAGCCCCTAATTGGGCCGCTGCCAGTATTTGCTCCAAGTATTGAAAACGTCGCACGTCGGACGAGCCCGAAGCCGAAATTATTACACCAAGCTTTCGCGAGGCGTAGACGTGAATTCGGTTGAACGGTAGACACCGAGGGTCGAACGTGTACTTTTGACGAAATAAAGTCCCAAAAATTATTAAAATGTCGAGAAAATTTGATCAGATGCCACGTTTTCAAGATGTATAATTAAACTCGCAAAGTAAGTTTTGGTAAAGGATATATGTCTCTATGCCACCGACTGGCTCCGTGACGTCAGGTGTACTCATGCTACGAACTCGGCTATCTCTGAAGTACAGTGAATGCATACAGTCCTAGCTCTGATGGCTACATCACGCACATAACCTGATGCAAAATCCAACCCTAACCTAACGCCTAACCCTAACCCAACCCTACACCTATCCTCAACCCTAACCCTAACCCAACCCTAACCTAACTAACCCTAACCCTAACCCTACTATTAAATTAATTAAAATGAATACTAACACTAACACTAACACAAAAAAAGTTAAATGGATAAAGATAGAAAAATAGAAAAATAAAAATATTAAACAGTATGGTATTCGAACCCATCACCTCAAGAAGAATCGTTCGGCGCCTTAACCCCGCTGCGCTACTTGTCTGGTTCGACTCAAATTGATGTATTATGTATTGTGCCCTATATGCATACATGGACTGTGTCGTGCGTGTTGGTTCTAGCGCAACTGACGTCCTAGCTGACGTACACTGACATCACGCGATCAGCGAGTGGGCCTACGAAACATATGAATCCCCCTTGGTAAACACTGTAAATCGTAAACAAACGCATCTCGCGGCATACTGCCAAAGTATCTGTGAGATATTTGTGCAATAAAATTTATTTGAATTTGAATTTGAATTTGACAGACAGTATTCACTTGCGTACGTGTGAACGCCGCCAACTCAAACGGCCCGAGCCAAATCTAGCCCATTTTGGCTCCAGCCAAACCATGACCGCGTGAACGCGACTATAGACACACACATATATATACCGACACATAAGCCGCGTTTACACGTCATGATTTGGCTCGAGCCAAATGGGCTAGATTTGGCTCGGCTCGCGAAATTTGGCCTCGGCCTAATTGAGTCGGCGCGTTCACACGTACGCAAGTGATTACTGTCTGTCAATTCAAATTCAAATTCAAATAAATTTTACTCTACAAATATCTCGCAGATCAAATTGGCAGAGTGTGTTCGCGAGATGGCGTTGTTTACTATTTAGAGTGTTACTTATTACGTTCCGAGGTTTAAATTATCAATCTTGAAAACGTGCATCTGATCAAATTTTTCGAAATTTTTATACTGTTTTGGAACTTTTATACTGTTTTGGAATTTTTATACTGGTATATAAAGTTATACTTTTTATACTGTTTCACACGATTCTAGTAAATTCTACCTCTCTACCGCTCGCCGAAGCTGGTGCTAAAATTTGGCTCGGGCCTGGTCCGACGTTTTCGATGGGGCAAATCTGGCTCGGGCCTAATTAGGCTCTCGGCCAAAACGTCGTGTGAACGCTCGGCTCGAGCCAAATCTGGACGGGCGCTAATTAGGCTCGGGCCAAAAACGTCCGCGTCTGACGCGCCTATAAGGTATCAACTAGACTTATCGTCCGCTTCTTCATTTCATTAATAGATCAACGACGTGAACAGGCCGGAGACCAGTCTAGGTCTCAGCCAAACCCTAGCACGTAGGCAACGACACCTTGCGGTAGAACCAAGAATTTGGCACGTCAAGACAACACTCGATATGCTTTATACCTGTGCAGACCTGAACGTACGAAGGAAGGAAAGAACGAACGAACGAACGAACGAACGAACGAAACGACACGAACGACAAACGAACGAACGAAGAACGAACGAACGACAAACGAACGAACGAACGAACGAACGAACGAACGAACGAACGAACGAACGAAACGAACGAACGAACGACAAACCGAACGAACGAACGAACGAAACGAACGCAACGAACGAACGAACGAAACGACAAACAAACGAACGAACGAACGAACGAACGAACGAACGAACGAACAAACGAGCGATTGATTGAAAGACAAAAAAAGAATAAATGCATTAAAACATAATCATAATTAATTCATTCATTCATTAATTAATAAGCGAGGAGCTACTTGCGAACTTAATTACTAGCTCTGAGATACGCGCGACTGCTGTTATCACTCACTGATATATACATACATACACATAGATACCCATATATACACATATATACACATATATACACATATATACACATATATACACATATATACACATACATACACATATATACACATATATACACATATATACACATATATACACATACATACACATACATACACATATATACACATAATTATATACACATACATACATATACATACACATATATACACATATATACTCATATATACACATATATACACATATATACACATATATACACATCAGAAGTTAATAAAGACAATTTGTCTTTATTAACTCCTGATACACATATATACCCTACACATATATACACATATATACATATATATACACATATATACACATATATACACGTATTTACGCACACATACACATATATACATATACATACACAAATATACACATATATACACATATATACACATATACACACACATATATATATATATATATATATATATATATATGTATATACATATATACACATATATACACATAAATACACATAAATACACATATATACACATATATAACACATATATCACATATAATACACATATATACACATATATACACATATATACTAATATATACACATATATACACATACATACACATCAGGAGTAGATAATAGGGATTCCTATTATCTACTCCTGATACACATACATACACATATATACACATATATACTGATATATACACATATATACACATATATACACATCAGGAGTTAATAAAGACAATTTGTCTTTATTAACTCCTGATACACATATGTACCCTACACATATATACACATATATACACATATATACACATATATACGCACACATACACATATATACATATACATACACAAAATATACACATATATACACATATATACACATATATACACATATATACACATATATACACATATATACTCATATATACACATATATACACATATATACACATATATACACATATATACACATATATACATATATATACACATATATACACATACACATATATACTCACAGTTCCATGATGAGTATCATCTCGGAGCCCGTATCGAAGGCGTCATACAGCTGCAGCAGCCGCGGATGCTGCAGCTCCTGCATGAGGGCCACCTCGTTCTCCACCTCCTTCTTATCGGCAGGCCGCGCCGTCTTGATGTACTTCGCTGCGAGGATTCGGCCATTTTTCTTCTCTTTGCATCGGTACACGGCGCCGAACTTGCCCCTGGTCGGCGAGAACGGTCAGATATTTCTCACACTCAATATCGTCATCAAAAACCGAGGATGTTGGTGGAATGAATAAGATTTTCGAAGTAAGAATTTCGGACAATCATCCCAGACCGTTCTTATATATTTTTTCGACTATTACCGTGCCTATTTCTGTTGCTTGTGTTATCTACGGCAAGGCTATGATGTCATAGAGCACTAGTACATCGTTACTTAAAAAAACCATACCTACCTACCTACCATACCTACCTTTGCTATGATGTCATAGAGCACCAGTACATCGTTACTTAAAAAAAACCATACCTACCTACCTAACCATACCTACCTTAAATTGACTACGTCACGAATTTTCTATCGTGTATATTTGTAAATTTTTGTTGCAATTTTTTACATTATACGTAAGTACTAACGGAACTAAATGTATCCTCAAATTCTTACCTGATAAGATTGTTTCTCAACTAGTTAAAAATCAAAAAAACCTGGACGATTTGATATTATGATCCTGACATGAATTGCTTGCTATGGGCTATGTATGAGTCACGAGTGTATGTTTACATCGAACAATATAGTAAAATAGGAAGTATAATGCAGCAATTTAACCATAAAACGTAAACAGAATTACTTACATGTTGTGAAAAAGTGGAAATATTTTTTTACTTTTACTATTTACGGTGACGTAATCACTTTAACCTTACCTAAATATGCAACGATTTACATTTGATGCCTTTTTTGCAGACGCGGTTACTTGATGATGTCATATTTTCTCGCGAGACTCTACCTACACGTTTTTAATAACATATTGTACAACGCAATAAAGACGCTGTTCATAGCGGACTAGAACTACTCACGTCACTCAATGAGGTGAACTTTTGCCTGGTGGCACCGATTACAAGGCAAAGGTCGCGACATTAAAGAATGCGGTTGCGTTATTTGCTATTGTATATACTATAACAGCACAAACTAGTGGTAATTTCCATACTGGAGTAATGAGTAATATTTCTGCTAATAGTCGAGACCTAATTTGTTTACACTTTTTTTATTCTCAGATTTACTTGAGAGATGATAATTTTAATACTGCCTGTATTAAACATATCAAGATTTTAGCTATTCGTGACATACTATACGACCTGTTTGTGGTTATGCT